AGAGAGAGAGAGAGAGAGAGAGAGAGACAGAGACAGAAAGCAAGAAATCACCCCCCAGGGGGGATGGCCATGCCGCAATTCCTTCTCCTCCATTGTCCTCTCGGGATCTTGGGCACACACACACGCACCCAGTGTGAGTTTAAGCCACTGGGTCCGGGACTTGAACCACGGTCGACTACATGAGAGTCCAGCGACATAGCCATTACACTAACCGCTGGTCTCAACATTTCCTGATGTGTCGTTTGTCTTCTTTCAATTTTTTTTTTTAATGCCAGAGGGCACAAGAAGGGGTGCGTGGGAGGGTGACCCTCTGCTCCTGTCAGCCGTGGACATGCGCTCAGCACACCTTTCCAGCCGACAGAGCCGGGACGCGAGCCCTGGCCAGTCGAGTGGAGTCCGGCTCCCTCTGCAGAGCGCACACTGCTGCACGGTGGGGCCCGCCCACTGGCAACCCTTGTCGTCCTTTTCCGGTCCGTCTCTTATAAACAGCAGTGATGGCACGGCCCGTTCCGATGTAACGCCCGGTCACCTCCTGGGCTCAGCGCAGTTGCTCTGCCATGCTGACTGCCGTGCTCATCTCGGTTCTGGTCGTCTTGTTTCCCGCCCCTGCTTTCTCTCCTGGGGATTTTCTTTTCTCCCCTCCTGACTGATTGCATTGGTCGAAGCATCCTCCTCCCTTTTCCCTCTAATTTGAAATCGGAAATGGTGTATTTGGATACTCCTTAGAAAGTGCCCCACATGCCTTAGTCTGTGTCCCCGGAAGATGAGCCAGTGGCCTGTTCTGAGCAGAGGCCCCGACAGTGCTGCCCCCACCCCTACAGTCTCGTTGTAACCTCTAGGGACATTTGTCCTTTATCGTCATTGTCAGGGCCAGCCATGGTCCAGGTGGGGGCAGGGCTCCTGCCTGGGTGGGCTCCTCTGTGGTCAGTGTGGTGGGACCTGAACCCACCCCGTGGACAGTGCCCCCCGGGTGCGTGTCTGGGCCCTTCCTCCAGTTGAGGTGCAGACATGTGCCTGGCTCCCTGCACATGACACCGCGCTGTCCTCAGGTCGTTGAGGTGGTAACGGGGATCTCTGCGGTCCTCGGAGGCGTCATCGCGATGAACGTGGATGAGGCGGTCTCGGGCCCCCACCTCTCGGTGACATTCTTTTGGATCTTGGTGGCGGTGAGTACACCCTGGTGTGGCCTGGCCCACCTATCATGCTGCAGCTGGGTGCTGTCCCCTCAGGTCCCTGACGGCATTCAGACGGGACAGTACCCAGGAGAGGGGCCTCGCAGTCACTCAGTCCACAGATTGGAAATCGAAGATTAACTGAGTCAATGTGTTAACTGTTCTTACATTAAGTCATTATTATGTTCTATTATTTTTATTATTTTTTTCTTAAAAAAAATGCCCTGCTACTTTCATTGTTCTACGCGATTTCCTCCATGTCCTACATTGTCTACACGGTACATCGTCTACACGGCTCCCCCGTCTCCCATACCGACCCCGTCTACACGGTTCCCTAGTCTCCCGTATCTATGGGGCACTGGTCTGGGAGGCACAGGGGTCAGCACTCACCCTTGGGTGCCGAGCCAAACTGTCACCAGAGCAGCGCAGAACGCCAGCTGCGGCATGGGGTGCAGAGGCAGCTCCGCACCTGCCGTGGACTTACGGAGGCTGGAGACAAGTACCACTGGACTCTTCCTGAGTGACGCCACCCCCGCCCCGTCCCTCATGCCCACCCACCCAGATCCTCCCTCCTTCAGGGGAAGTGGCTGGGAGGGGCGGGGTCAGGTGGGGCTTCCGGGGCAGCGAGGCGGCTCTACCTGCCCGCGTGCTGGCTGGGGTCGCCTCAAGCCAAGAGCACAGAACACTGGTGGGACCCAGGGCTTGGGGCCTCCTGGGCTGGGCCCTCTTGAGCACCCCCGCCCCATACCTGACTTCAGGCCAGTGTAGGGTGTGGGGCTGGAGTAGCCATGCTTGGGGGGCAGACTCTGCCCTCCCTGGGCACCTCCTGGCTGCCCCTGAGCCGCTGTCCCTCCTCTGCTGTCTCCCTGCCAGCTCAGGAGAGGCCCTGGGTGGACATGGCGGCCTCCCCAGCCCAGGCCCAGCTACCCCCAGCTGCCCCAGGTCCCTCCTGCGGGGCCGTGCTGTGTGTGGTTCCTCAGCCCACCGGCCCAGTCTAGCACCTGCCCCCTGGCCTCTGCCCTGCTCGCCTCTCCCTGGAGCCCTACAGATGCATACCCCTCTCTGGGGCCTCCAGGCCGACACCATGCCCTCTGTACATGGCCCCGCCTGGTCCTCTGTGGACAGCTAACCTCAGCGGGTCATGAGGTCCTGGCTGAGCTGGGCTGCGGTGGCAGAAGGTGACAGATAGCACACCCATAGCTCCCACGCTTCACAGCCTGTCTGGGAGCGGGGCAATGCATCCAGCTTCTTGAATGTGGGGAGAGGAGACATTTCTTGGCTGTAGAGGGGGTGAGGTGCCTGTATAGGGGGGCCAGCAGGTCCCCTCACCTGCACAAAGGCCAATGTGATGACAAGGCAGGTGGGTGCCAGGGCACACCGAGGCTGCCAGGCCTCCACTACTCCAGCGTCCAGGCCCTTCGGGTGAAGGACACTGAGGGAGCTCCCCACCCAATGGAGACCAAGATGCAAGGCAGGAGAGCAGACTGGTTCCTGGGGAGGAGCCACACAGGCAGCCTAGAGAGAGCAGGCCGGACAGAGGGAGAGAACCCGGCCGGGCAGGGGGAGGGAGGGAGCACAGGCTGAGGGCAGAAGCAGGGCTGCAGACCAGCCAGATTGCACGGAGGTTAAGGTGGCCGGATCTCACACGGCCGGCTATACCTTTCCACGCCTGGACCCAGCAGCTTGAAAACACACTGGGTGTGTGTGCACGTCTCCAAATCCTGAGAGAAGGGACCATGGCCTGGCCCAGCCACCGGGGGCCAAGCAGCCTGGCTCACTGCGTGCGGGTGGGAGGGTGACCGAAGAGCGCCATGGGGAGGCCACAGGTTTGGAGTCGGAGTCCGACTGGCCGCGGCCCTGCGCCCCTTCTTCCCCGTCCCTGCAGTGCTTCCCGAGTGCCATCGCCAGCCACGTGGCAGCCGAGTGCCCCAGCAAGTGTCTGGTAGGTGGGGCCAGCCCTGCTTGGCCCTCGTGGGCAGCTGTAGCCATGGGCTGGCAGGAGGGTGGGCGGCTGTCCTGCGGGAGCTGCTAGTGGGGTGGGGCTGGCACCTGCCACCAGCCGGGACGTGCCCACTCTGAGTGCTCCACCTTCGTGGGCTGCCCTGGCCACCACCAGCAGAAAGCCCGCCTGGGGCTGCAAGGCCAGGCCGCCGTCCCCTGCCCGCATCCTCTCCCTCGCAGGGCAGGGCCCTGGAGGATGCAGGGACGTGCTCTGAGGGGTAGGGAGGAGACCTACCACGGCTCTTTCAGCCAGGTGGGGCATCGTGAGCGGATTAGTCCCAGCACAGAGCTCGAGATGGGCGGGGTTGGAGGGGTGCAGGGCCCCAGCGTCCCAGTCCAGCTCTGCTCCCTCAGGTGGAGGTGCTCATCGCCATCAGCAGCCTCACCTCGCCGCTGCTCTCCACGGCCTCAGGCTACTTGTCCTTCAGCGTCCTGAGGATCGTGCAAGCGCTCAGGGACCACCCGCCCACCGTGAGCGTGCGTATTCTCCTTGCTCTTAACCACCTAGAAGGCCCTGCTCCGCGCCAGGACCGTGGCTCGCGGGGACGGTGGTGCCCGCACATGGCCAGTTCTGGGTGCAGCTAGCTCTGTGGAGAGGTCCCCTCCCTCCCTGACCTCTGACCCCTTGTCCTATGACCCCGCCACGGCAGGGCCAGCTCTGCTCTGGGGCTGCTCCTGCCACTTCCGCTGCCCTAACTTCGAGCTGTTCCATCCATCTTGCTGCAGCCCTGCAACCCACTAGGTCCCGGGCCACTGGCTTCTTCTCAGGTGTCATGGGTTCCTCTGCCCTGGAGCTTCCGTGAGCACTTCAGAAGCAGCCTCAGCTTCAAAGGCACCAGGTTGCTATTCTTTTTTTTTTTTTGGAGAGATTTTCACTGTAGGGCGCGTGCACTCGCCAGACAGACAGAGAGAGACATAGAGACAGAAAGCGAGAAATCACCCCCCAGGGGGGATGGTCACGCCGCAATCCCTTCTCCTCCATTCTCCTCTCGGGATCTTGGGCATGCACGCACATGCGCCCGGCGTGAGTTTTAAGCCACCGGGTCTGGGACACAAACCGCGGTCGACTACGTGGGAGTCCAGCGACATAGCCATTAGGCTAACTGCTGGTTCCCCAGGTTGCTATTCTGAGTGGAGCTGCGTTCTCTGTAGGAGAACTGAGTGTGGACCTCCCATGGTGGAAGTGTAGCCCTCTCTCTCTCTCTCACTCTCTCTTTTTTTTTTTTTAATACATTTTTGCTATAGGGCATGTGTGCTCACCAGAGAGACAGAGAGAGATAGAGAGACAGAAAGTTATGGGGACCAGTGGTGGCTAAGGCCACACTCCCACATGGCGGACTGCAGTTCGAGTCCTGGACCTGGTGGCTTGCTTTCTCACTTTCTCTAACTCTGTCTCTCTCTCTCTCTCTCAACCTGTGAATCTCTCTCTGGTCAAATTAAAAAATAATTGAATGAACAAATAAAATAATTCTTAAAAAAATAAAGAAAGTGAGAAATCACCCCCCCGGGGGAGGCCACACTGCAGCCCCTCCTTCTCCATCCTCCTCGGGATTTTGGGCATGCGCCCATGCGCCCCGTGCCCTGTGCCCCCCGTGGGCCAGCACGGCAGGGCCTGCCTGCAGCCCTCACATGGGCAGTGGAGACAGGGGGCAGGAGCCGCTTGTTCCTCCTTCCCCAGGGAGGTGGGCAGGCTCTGGGAGAGCTGGCTGGTTCCTGCCGCTGAGGTGAGGGCCAGAGCTGCAGGCCTGGCGCTGCTCCTGGGGATCCACAGCCCTCCTTCCGAGGGCACCCGAGTGGCCAGCAGGACCCAGAGAGCACTGCTGCTCCTGAGGCTGGGAGAGAGCAGGCTGCTCGCCCAGTGCTGCCGCGGGTCTGTGCACGGCTCCGTGCCGCCGCGGCCAGAGCTGGGAGAGACGCGTTAGGCCTTGGCCTTGGCCGGTGTCCAGTCTGCCGCAGCATTCCGGGGTACTTCCCAGCGTCTTCGCTGGTTTGCCTCTCCTCAAACCGAAAATACTGTTTCCTGGAGCACTGGTACGGCTACTCTTGGGGCCAGCAGGTGGTGTGGCGGTGAACTCCCACATGGCTGACCGTGGTTCCCACGAGTACCAGCCCTGGCAGTTTGAAAATCATACCAGGTGCACATGTGCCCAAGATCCCAGAGGACAATGGAGGAGAAGGGACTGTGGTGTGGCCATCTCCCCTGGGGGCCGATTTCTCACTTTCCCCCTCTGTTTCTCTCCAGTGAGCACACATACCCTATGACAAAACCCTAAAATCAATATATATATAGATATAAACATGTATCTATATGTATATTTGTCTATGTATATATAAATAAAATACCAGGTCATTGGAAAAGTCATGACGTGTTTTTCTATGTGAAAACGCATCATGACTTTCCAGTGACCCAATATATATATTTATCAACCCTCTGCGTGAGCCCCCCGAGCGGCCTTTAGCCTGTGACAGACCCTGCTTGGGAGGGCCGGCCACTTACAGGACGTCTGGAGCTCGCTCTCCCAGAGAGGCCTGCGCAGCGGCTGCAGCGGTGGAAGACAGGCTCCGTTCAGCGTGCCCTGCTCCCGAGGAAGGCTGGGTGGGCGCTGCCGGCTGGGCTCCCAGTGGAGGTGGCAGGGCTGCACACTCACCTCTCCACCCTCCAACCCACACTGTCCCTCTGCCTC